GAGGCAGGAGGAGGCTGTGGCTCACCGTGGGGACAAGGACACTGACAACAGAAGTTTAGGGAAGTACTCCTTGGTGTGAGCCATCCCAGAGTCTCTGTTTGCTAGTATTTTGTTGAGGATTTTTGCAGCTGTATTCATCAGTGATACTGGTCTGTAATTTTCTTTTTTTTGTAGTATCTTTGGTTTTGGTATCAGGGTAATGGTGGCCTCGTAGAATGAGTTTGGGAGTGTTCCTTCCTCTGCAGCTTTTTGGAAGAGTTTGAGAAGGATAGGTGTTAGCTCTTCTCTAAATGTTTGATAGAATTCACCTGTGAAGCCATGTTGTCCTGGACTTTTGTTTGTTGGAAGATTTTTAATCACAGTTTCAATTTCATTACTTGTGATTGGTCTGTTCATATTTTCTATTTGTTCCTGGTTCAGTCTTGGAAGGTTATACCTTTCTAAGAGTTTGTCCCTTTTTTCCAGGTTGTCCATTTTATTGGCATACAGTTGCTTGTAGGTAGTCTCTTAGGATGCTTTGCATTTCTACAGTGTCTGTTGTAACTTCTCCTTTTTCATTTCTAATTTTATTGATTTGAGTCCTCTCCCTCTTTTTGATGAGTCTGGCTAATGGTTTATCAATTTTGTTTATCTTCTCAAAGAACCAGCTTTTAGTTTCATTGATCTTTGCTAATGTTTTCTTTGTTTTTGTTTCATTTATTTCTGCTCTGATCTTTATGATTTCTTTCCTTCTGCAAACTTTTTTTGGGGGGGGGGGTTGTTTGTTCTTCTTTTCCTTTAGGTGTAGGTTAGATTGTTTGAGATTTTTCTTGTTTCTTGAGGTAGGCTTGTATTGCTATAAACTTCCCTCTTAGAACTGCTTTTTCTGCATCCCACAGGTTTTGGATCTTCGTGTTTTCATTGTCATTTGTCTTTAGGTATTTTTTGATTTCCTCTTTGATTTCTTCAGTGATCTCTTGATTATTTAGTAACGTACTGTTTAGCCTCCGTGTGTTTGTGCTTTTTACGTTTTTTTCTCTGTAACTGATTTCTAATCTCATAGCATTGTGGTCAGAAAAGATGCTTGATATGATTTCAATTTTCTTAAATTTACCGAGGCTTGATTTGTGACCCAAGATGTGATCTATCCTGGAGAATGTTCCATGTGCACTTGAGAAGAAAGTGTAATCTGCTATTTTTGGATGGAATGTCCTATAAATATCAAATCTATCTGGTCTGTTGTATCATTTAAAGCTTGTGTTTCTTTATTAATTTTCTGTTTGGATGATCTGTCCATTGGTGTAAGTGAGGTGTTAAAGTCCCACACTATTATTGTGTTACTGTTGATTTCCTCTTTTATAGCTGTTAGCAGATGCCTTATGTATTGAGGTGCTCCTATGTTGGGTGCATATGTATTTATAATTATATTTTCTTCTTGGATTGATCCCTTGTTCATTATGTAGTGTCCTTCCTTGTCTCTTTTAACATTTATTTTAAAGCCTATTTTATCTGATATGAGTATTGCTACTCTAGCTGTCTTTTGATTTCCATTTGCATGGAATATCTTTTTCCATCCCCTCACTTTCCCTCTGTATGTGTCCCTAGGTCTGAAGTGGGTCTCTTGTAGACAGCATATATACGGGTCTTGTTTTTGTATCCATTCAGTGAGCCTCTGTCTTTTGGTTGGAGCATTTAATCCATTCACATTTAAGGTAATTTTCAGTATGTATGTTCCTGTGACCATTTTCTTAATTGTTTTGGGTTTGTTTTTGTAGGTCCTTTTCTTCTCATGTGTTTCCCACTTAGAGAAGTTCCTTTAGCATTTGTTGTAGAGCTGGTTTGGTGGTGCTGAATTCTCTTAGCTTTTGCTTGTCTGTAAAGCTTTTGATTTCTCCATCGAATCTGAATGAGATCCTTGCCAGGTAGAGTAATCCTGGTTGTAGGTTCTTCCCTTTCATCACTTTAAGTATATCATGCCACTGGCTTGATGGAGCTTCTGCTGAGATAGAGATATCTGGCTTGTAGAGTTTCTGCTGAGAAATCAGCTGTTAACCTTATGGTAGTTCCCTTGTGTGTTATTTGTCGTTTTTCCCTTGCTGCTTTCAATAATTTTTCTTTGTCTTTAATTTTTGCCAACTTGATTGCTATGTGTCTTGATGTGTTTCTCCTTGGGTTTATCCTGTATGGGGCTCTCTGCGCTTCCTGGACTTGGGTGGCTATTTCCTTTACCGTGTTAGGGAAGTTTTCAACTATAATCTCTTCAAATATTTTCTCGGGTCCTTTCTCTCTCGTCTCCTCTGGGACCCCTATAATGCAAATGTTGTTGCATTTAATGTTGTCCCAGAGGTCTCTTAGGCTGTCTTCATCTCTTTTCATTCTTTTTTCTTTCTTCTGTTCCACAGCAGTGAATTCCACCGTTCTGTCTTTCAGGTCACTTATCCCTTCTTCTGCCTCAGTTATCCTGCTGTTGATTCCTTCTAGTGTATTTTTCATTTCAGTTATTGTATTGTTCATCTCTGTGTTTGTTCTCTAATTCTTCTAGGTCTTTGTTAAACATTTCTTGCACCTTTTCAATCTTTGCCTCCATTCTTTTCCCAAGGTCCTGGATCATCTTCACTATCAGTATTCTGAATTCTTTTCTGGAAGGTTGCCTATCTCCACTTCATTTTGTTGTTTTTCTGGGGTTTTATCTTGTTCCTTCATCTGGTACATAGCCCTCTGCCTTTTCATCTTGTCTGTCTTTCTGTGGATGTGGTTTTTGTTCCACAGGCTGCAGGATTGTAGTTCTTGCTTCTGCTGTCTGCCTCTGGTGGATGAGGCTATCTAAGAGGCTTGTCTAATTTATTTATTTTTATTTATTTTTTTGGGCTGTGTTGGGTCTTCATTGCTGCGTGTGGGCTTTCTCTAGTTGTAGCGAGTGGGGGCTACTCTTTGTTGCAGTGTGCGGGCTTCTCATTGCAGTGGCTTCTCGTTGCAGAGCATGGGCTCTAGGTGCGCAGGCTTCAGTAGTTGTGGCAAACGGGCTCAGTAATTGTGGCACACAGGCTTAGTTGTTCCACAGCATGTGGGATTTTCCCAGACCAGGGATCGAACCCATGTCCCTTGCATTGGCAGGCGGGTTCTTAGCCACTGTGCCACCAGGGAAGTCCTCTGTATAAGTTTTAAGTCATACAGCCTGATGGTTTGATTTACATATATTGTGAAATGATTACCACAGTAGGTTCAGCTGACACCCATATAGATAGAATAAAAAGTAAAGAGGAAAAGAGAGAAGGAAAAAAATTTTCTCCTTGTGATGAGGACTCTTAGGATTACTCTCTTATCAGTGCTTCTTTATAGCATACAGCAGTGTTAGCTACAGTTATCGAGTTGTACACTGCATCCCTAGGACTTGTTTATCTTAAAACTGGAATTTTGTACCTTTTGACCATCTTTCTCCAATTTCACCTCCCCCCACGTTAAATTCTTCATTGGTATACCTCCTCTTTAATGTTTTCAGGTAAACTATTAATATTTTCTCCATCTAGATCATGTGTATTTTGCTAGTCTTTTCACCAAACTGTTCGGGCATAACAGACCCAATGTGTCCATCCCAGTCCTGCTCACCTCCTGCCTTATGAGCCCTGTCCTGGGAGTCCTCACTGTAACCCAAGTCAAAACCATGGGAATCAGTTTCCCTGGATTCTTGTCAATACCATCCTCATGGCCTGGGGGGCCTTTGTACATTCTGTGTCCTAAGGCTATAGTGTCCTTCCCACCTCCTCTCTCTGGCAACTCCAGTGGTGCCAGTAGGACTCCCCTGGTCTCTTCCTGCATACAGTTAGCCAAACTCAAGGTTAGAAATACAGAACTCCAGGACTGCCAAGTCTGCCCAGGTGTTGTGAACCATCTGCAAGTCGAGGGGTTTCCCAGTCCACCCTCAGGTTCAGTGATTTGCTAGGAAGACTCACAAAACTCCCTAAAACCTGTTAATGCTCACAAATCGTATTTGTTACAGGCAAAAGATGCAGAGTAGAAGAGGGGCCGGGGGTGTTCCAGACACGAAGCTTCCATATCTTCGGCATCTCGTTACCTCCTGGAATCGATATCTGGCAGTATGTGCACGGAGTGTTGCCAACCCAGGAAACTCACCAGAGCCTCGGTATCCAGATTTTTGTTGAGTTTTCATTACAGAAGCATGATTGAGTCATTGTACATGGGACTCAGTCTCCACCCTTCTTCCCTTTCCAGAGATCCAGCTGATAACTCGTGGTTCAAAGCCCCAGCTTTCTAATTACACGTTTGGTCTTTCTGCTTTGCCCAGACCTTACCCAGACCTAATGTCACCTCTTTAGTATAAACTATCTAGGGGCCCATAGTGAGTCATCTGTTGTCATAAAGTATCATGTACATCCCTAGGGACTCACCATGAACAGCAAAGACATGCTTGTCTCTCTGGAGATACCCAGTTTACAGGTTACTTCCTTAGAGCTGGGGCAAGGACCATACTTCTCTTTGGAGATAGTTGAATTGGCATTATACACTTCCTGTCTTTTATCAGGACTGCATTAGATGCCTTTTCCTAGTGGTTTTTTGTTTTGTTTTGTTTTGTTTTCGGCCGTGCCACTTGGCTTGCAGGATTGTAGTTCCCCCACCAGGGATTGAACCTGGGCCTGGCAGTGAAAGCACAGAGTCCTAACCACTGTATCATTATGGAATTCCCTTTTCCTAGTGTTCTTACAGCAACATGGGATGTCTTCAATTAAGGGAAACTGAAAGCCCACAGAGGCATTATTACTCTGTCCAGCCAAGCCTGTGAAATTGTGGCGTTATGTCCATTGCAGACTCTCTTACTGGGTCTGGCTTTCAAGGTGTCAGCAGTCTAATGACCAAGAAAGAAAGAAGTTACAATGTTGAGATTCAGAGGTAGCAAAACAGACACAGAGGCACTGTTTTCATCTCTATCTTTTTCACTGAAATGCCGATTTTGTTTCTTCCTTGTTGGTATTACTAATGGGCCTTGTTTATTGGGTTTCTTTCAGTTGACAAAGGAAAACCCAAGACCACAGAACCTACCACTTGTGAGCCAACCCTATTTGAGGGAGCCTCTATCCAGGAACTAATACAAGGAGGCCCAGGCAACTCCCAGTTCAGACAAAGCAAGGATCAGGATGGGCTGTTGGAAATGCAGGAAGGACGCTTGGGACCAGGGCTGGACCCCCAGAGGGAGAAGCTTCCTGAGAAAATGAGTCCTGAGCATGGCAGCTTAGGGACAGCTGGTGGTGTGTGTTCAAGGATTGTAGAGGAGCTGGTCCCTGCAGAAGGTGCTGTCCACGACCATGACTCATGTGGATCTGGTAATGATCACATGATTCAGGAAGAGGAAAGTATCTTTAAATGCAACGAATGTGGGAAAGTTTTTAACAAGAAACACCTTCTTGCTGGACATGAAAAGATTCACTCTGGTGTGAAGCCCTATGAATGCACAGAGTGTGGGAAAACCTTTATTAAGAGCACACACCTCCTCCAGCACCACATGATCCACACCGGGGAGAGGCCCTATGAGTGCACAGAGTGCGGGAAGGCCTTCAACCGCAGGTCCTACCTTACACAACACCAGCGGATTCACACTGGAGAGAAGCCTTACAAGTGCAATGACTGTGGAAAGGCCTTCACCCACCGCTCCAACTTTGTCTTACATAAGAGGAGACACACCGGGGAAAAACCCTTCGTGTGCAAAGAATGTGGGCAAGTCTTCCGACACAGGCCAGGATTCCTTCGACATCACATCATCCACAGTGGTGAGAATCCGTATGAGTGCTTTGAATGTGGCAAGGTCTTTAAACACAAGTCATACCTCATGTGGCACCAGCAGAGTCACACTGGGGAGAAGCCCTACGAGTGCAGTGAATGCGGTAAAGCCTTCTGTGAGAGCGCAGCCCTCATTCACCACTATGTCATCCACACTGGGGAGAAGCCCTTTGAGTGCCTCGAGTGCGGGAAGGCCTTCAACCACAGATCATACCTCAAGAGGCACCAGCGGATTCACACTGGGGAGAAGCCTTTTGTGTGCACTGAATGTGGAAGGGCCTTTACCCACTGCTCCACTTTTATCTTGCATAAACGGGCCCACACTGGAGAGAAACCTTTTGAGTGCAAAGAATGTGGGAAAGCCTTTAGCACTAGGAAAGACCTCATTCGGCACTTCAGCATCCACACTGGGGAGAAGCCCTTTGAGTGCACAGAGTGTGGGAAGGCCTTCAACCGCAGGTCAGGCCTCACCAGGCACCAGCGGATTCACAGTGGAGAGAAGCCCTATGAATGCATGGAGTGTGGGAAGTCCTTTTGCTGGAGCACAAACCTCATTCGACATGCCATCATCCACACCGGAGAGAAGCCTTATAAGTGCAGTGAATGTGGAAAGGCCTTCAGTCGTAGCTCATCCCTCACTCAGCATCAAAGGATTCATACTGGGAGAAACCCTGTCAGTGTGACAGATGTAGGAAGAACCTTCACCAGTGGGCAAACCTCAGTCACCCTCCGAGAACTCCTGTTGGGCAAAGAGTTTTTGAATGTAAACACCGAGGAAAATCTTTTGCAGGAGAAAACACCTACCATGACATCTGATCATACATACCAAAGAGAAACCCCACAAGTATCTTCTCTGTGAGAAAACCTGTCACGGATCATCAGTAGTTGTGTAAAGACGCATTGTAGAAATTGACCCAGCCTAGAGCCTTACTCTACATCTGAGAGTTCATCTGTGAGGGAGAGACCAGTGTTTATTGTGCACTAAGGAAAACTTTAGCTACGTTTTTCCCTTAGTTTACACTGTAGTGTTATCTCAGGAATTTTTATAAAAAGAAGGTGGAAACTTAGATGAAAAAATGAAATGCAAACACAGTTTGAGACTTCTCTGTCAAGGTTATGGCACTTTGTCATGGATCCCTTAGTTTACTTGGGGTGAGGGGAATGTTATTTCACAGGCAAAGGGCCTTGACCCTTTATGTGTCTTATATATACATTCATTGCTGTCCAGTATTAGGAGAGTTAGACACTTGAAGCCAGGTATTTAAGTAGATAAAAATACACATATGACACACGGGCACGTTTTATTGCACCAGTTAAGACTGTTTTAGGCTTTTGGTTTTTTTAAAAAACAAACGGTTCTTTTGGTGGTTTTAAACACCAGACATTCAGACTTTTTATTGATTCAATCTGTTGTTTAATTTCTCTAGCTATACGGTAAATCTTAAAATTGGGTAAAGTGAATACTTTATTATTTAAATTAACTCCACTTTCCTAGTTCCTTGGTCTTGCCATATAAGTCTTAGGATGCAAAAAAACCTTGCTCACGTGTTTATAGAAATTGATTTAAACCTGTAGAGCAGTTTGTTTAAAAGCAGCACCATGAACACAGTACATGGTATGGTGTTTCATGTATCTAAGTAATTCTTGATATTTCATTACCATTTTATAATATTGAACAATACAGGTTCTGTACATTTTTGTTAGGGTTTATGTCTAGGTTGTTGGTTTTTTTTTTTAATTTTTAGTGATTTGTAAATGGCTTTTTTTTTTTTTTTTTTTTTTTTTTTGGGGCCGGAGGCTTGTGGAATCTTAGTTCTCCCACCAGGGATAAAACCCAGGCCCCCTACAGTGAAAGTGAGGAGTCCTAACCACTGGACTGCCAGGGAATTCCCTATTGGCATTGTTTTAAACTTTCATTTCCACATGATCTTTAGTAGTATACAGAAAGATAATTGTTCTGGGGGGTGATATTTTAGTATCTTGCAGCTTTGGCTGAACTCAGTTATTTCTAGCCATTTCTTTGGATAGAATCCTTGGTATTTTCTGCATAGAAATGTCAACTGCAAATAGTTTTCTTTCTTCCTATTTGTATACGTATCATTTCTTTTTCTTATGCACTTAGCTAGGACTCTCAGTATGATGTTGAGTAAGAGTAGTAAGAGAGGACAACCTTGACTGGTTTCTGATATTGGGGGGAAAACGGTCAGTTTTTCATCAAGTACAATGTTAGTTGTAAGTTTTGTTTTTTTTTTCCATAGAGTTTTCCTGTCAAGTCTAGAAAGTTTCCCTCTGTTAATTTGCTGAGATTTTTGTTGTCATGAATGAATGTTGGATTTTGTCAGATACTTTATCTCCATCAGTTAATGTGATCATCTGGTTTTTTTCTTCTTTAGCCTATTGATAAAGTGTATTACATTGAGTTTTGAATATTAAACCAGCCTTGCATCCTTGGAATAAACCCCACTTGGTTGTGGAGTATAAATTTTTTAATATATATTAAAGCATTCCATTTGATTATTTTTTTTGAGCAGGTTTTCCTATAATCTCTTGATTGATGATATGTAGTTGTCATTCTTTGCTTGTTTTTAAGTACTGTCATTGTCTGGTTTTGGTGTCAAGGTGATAGTGGCTTCCCAAGTTCTGTTTTTTAGGATGACTATGTAATTGTTTTTAATTGTTGTTTTAATGTTCCGTAACATCCTCCAGTAAACCATTTGAGCCTGGAGATTTTCTGGATACTTTTTAGTTACATATTATTTGATAAGTATGGAACTATTCAGAGTATCTGTTTTCATATTGGATAAATTGGATAGTTGGTCCTCTTCAAGGAAATGTTTCATTTCATCTAACTTTTCTTATTTGGAGACTTGTTGGGAGTATTCCCTTATTATCTTTTTAATGGCAACAGGGTCTGTACTTATATCGCATTTTATTCCTGATTTTGGAAATACGTCACCTCTCTTTTTAATCATTGTCAGTCTTAGACATTTACCAATTTTACTGATCATTTTGAAGAACCAGCACTTTATTTTATTGATTTTTCTCTATTGCCTTTCTGGGTGTTTTGTTTTTGTTTTTGTTTTGTTTTGTTTTACCGCACCACGCAGCATGTAGGATCTTAGTTCCCCGACCAGGGATCGAACCTATGCCCCCTGCATTGAGAGCACAGTCTCTTAACCACTGGCCTGCCAGGGAAGTCCCTTTACCTTTCTGTCCTTAATTTCACTGATTTCTGTTCAGATCTTTATGATATCATATCTTCTACTTTGCTTTGGTTGTATTTTGCTCTTTTTATTTTTTGAGGGATGCTAAGATTATTGATTTGAAACTTTTTCTTTTCTAATGGATCATTAAGTATTATAAAGTTCCTTCAGCACTGTTCCAGCCTTATCCCACAAGTTTTCATTACAATTTATTCAGTTCTGAATATCCCTTGATTCCCTTAGAGACTTCCTCTGACACCCATGTATTATTCAGAAGTATATTGTTTCATTTCCTACTGTTTGGAGCATTTTCTGGTATCTTTTGTTACTGATTTATTACTTGTTTCATGTTTGGTTTGTTTAAATTTGTTGAAGTTTGTTTTATGACCCAGGGTGTGGTATATCTTGTTCTGTAAGGCTTCTCGAAACGAATGTGTATTCTGCTGTTATTGGGTGAAGTTTCTATAAATATCTGCACAATCCTCTTGGTTGGGGTTATTGCTCAGATTCTTTACATCCTTGCTGACTTCTGTGTAGTATTTCTGTCGCAGAGAGAGGGATGATGAAGTCCTGAAGTATAATTGAGAAATTGTCTATTCCTTACAAGCTCTATAAGTTTCTGCTTCATGTATTTCAAAGTTCTGTTGTTTGGTGCATACACATATAGGATTGCTATGTCATCTTGGTGTATTGACCCTTTAATCATAATAAAAGGGTTCATTTTCTTGCCTTTGAAGCATACTTTATCTGATATTAGTATAGTCACTACTGCATTTTTTTTTTTTTTTTGCTGTACGTGGGCCTCTCACTGTTGTGGCCTCTCCCATTGCAGAGCACAGGCTCCGGATGGGCAGGCTCAGCAGCCATGGCTCACGGGCTCAGCCGCTCCACGGCGTGTGGGATCTTCCCGGACCGGGGCACAAACCCGTGTCCCCTGCATCGGCAGGCGGACTCTCAACCACTGTGACACCAGGGAAGCCCACTACTGCATTTTTTTATTAATGTTTGTAGTTTATATTTTTCCATAATTTTATTTTTAACATTATCTACATCATTATATTTGAAGTAAGTTTCTTGTGACAGCATGTAGTTGGGGTCATACTTTTTTTTTTATCCATTTTGCCACTTTTAATTCGTAGGTTTAGATCATCTAAGTTTAAAATAATTATTGATATGTTAGAGCTTAACTGTACTATTTTATTAATCTTTTTTTTGTGTTTGTTCCCTTTGTATTATTCCTCTTGTTTTCCAGTTTTTATTATTTGGGTTCCCCCCACCCCATTTCCTGTGGGTTATTTTAACATTTTTTAGAATTCCATTTGATAACGTCTGTAATGTTTTTGAGTATATATCTTAATTTTCTTTACGTATTGTATTATGTATACATAACTTATCACAGACTGTTACCCGCATTTTAGCACTTTGATGTATAGAAACCTTGATTCCATTAGGTTCACCTACATTCCCTATTCTTAATATAATGGTTGTAAGTATTTTCTCATTGTATACTGAGAACTATATTGGATATTGTAATTTTTGCCTCAACTTTTTTTTTTCCCCCACAAAATTCATGAGAAGCATAGTCTGTTTACCTCTACTTTTACCATTCCATTGTTGTTTCTCCATTCTTGAAGTCCCAAGTCTTCTGTTAACATTTCCATTCTGTTTGGCAAATTTCCTGTGGCCTTTTTTCTAGGGTATGTCTGCTGTTAACAAATGTTTTTTCTTTCTTCATCTAAAAATGTCTTTATGTTCACTTCATTCCTGAAGGATATTTTTGTGCGACATAAGACTTGGGGTCCACAGTTCTTTTAGGACAAAAGTAAACATGTCTGTTTTTTCTTCTGTCCATCTTTTGTCCAGCATGGTTTCAGATGAGAAACCTGCCTTTCAACCCATTGTTCCTCTATTTGAAAGGCATCCTTTCTGTCAGGTGCTTTCAAAGTGTTTTTTATTATAATATTCAGTTTATGATGTGTCCTGGCATAGCATTTTTAGGGTTTATCCTGTTGGGTGTTTTCTCAGCTTTTTGAATCATGTGTATGCCCTTTGCCAAATTTGGGAGATTTTTAGTTATTTTTCAAATATTTTTTCAACCCCACGCTTTTTCTCCTCTCAGGGACTCCAGTAACGTGAATGATAATTCTCACATTCTTGTTCCATAGGACCCTCAGGCTCCCATCTTTTTGTTTCCACCAGTCTGTTTTTGTCTGTTCCGCACATTGATTAATTTTCTTTGATCTCCCTTTGAGCTCACTGGTTTCTTTCTGTCTCATATATAATCTACTATTGAGCTCACCCAGTGAGTTTTCATTTTGGTTTTTGAATTTTCAAGTTGTTTGATTTCCACTTGGTTCTTTTATACATCTTCTGTATTTTTGCCTAGCTTATAATGCCAAAGAAGGACTCTGAGAAACAGGCAAAACTGTATAGTCCAAGGTCATGGTTCTCTGGTGGTTTATCTTGATGT